GGTTGCATTTGATCAACTAGTCAGCTATAAATAGATCAAATGCATGCACAGACAAGACACCTCATCATGTCTCATACTCGTTCAGATTTTATTGGCATTTCCGTACTTGATTGATCGAAATACAGGACATTTTTACCCCAGCTGTTCTGCTTAGTCATTGTTTTTTGGAATCCCTTTTCTGCACCAACAGCTGCAAGTTAGGGGCGTACTACTGTACTATTTCGCAAAAGTCTAAGATTCCTGCAAGTCTGGAAAAAAAAAACCCTAAAGATGTAACTGGATGTAGATATCTGGACTCCATCCGAGGAATTCTGTTTTATCAGTCGGGTCTTTATCCTCCTGAAAGGTGAACATCTATTTTTATCCCAGTCTCAAGGAATCTCTGAAATGTTCTTAATTTATAGCCATTTAGCTTCTTTCTGTAAACTTTGACCTGCCTCTCTGCTGCTGCTGCTGAAGAAATGCATCCCACACTCTGATGCTGCCACTGCTGTATTTGAGTGTGAGCAGGGTGTATCAGCAGCATGGACAAGGCTAGTTTTTCTTTTTCAAATTTTTGTATGGCTTTCTTTTATCCATCCATCTTCCGTCACACTTATCCCAAGCGGGGTCACAAGGGGTGCTGTTTCCAATCTCGCTAGTCCATCGCAGGGCAACACAGAGAGAAACAGGACAAACAACTATTCATGACCACTATCACTCCTAAGGAGAATTTAGAGAAGCCATTTAACTTAAAGGAATAGTACACCCAAAACACGATTAGCCTTCATTTTCTACTCACCCCCATGCTGAACAACACTCTGGAGTACTTTTTTGATATCTCAAATGCATCTGGAGATCTGGGAGGCTTCTTGCTGTCTGCTGACATTCAAATAATGGAGGCCTACGGAAACCGCGGCAGACCAAACCAGATGAAAGTGCGCATTCAGCTCGGCAAAGAACTCATGCTCTTCCTCAACACTGAAGTCCTCAGACATTTTTCTTTCGTTGTTTCTTTCTTTCCACAGGTAAACAGCACATTTCTTCTTCTACGCTTGCATTATCAAGAGCAGACGCTGAATGCGCACTTTCGTCTGCCGCAGTTTCCGTAGGCTCGTGAACTCGCAGGCGCGCGCTTTTAGGAAGTCCTATACACTACTGTTTATGCTCTAAAAACATTCTAAATGACTTTGTTTCGAGTAAATTCTGGATGCTACCCACTCAGGACACTTGGAATACGGGCACCATAGACCTCCATTATTTGAATGTCAGCAGACAGAAAGAAGCCTCCCAGATCTCCAGATGCATTTGAGATATCAAAAAAGTACTCAAGAGTGTTGTTCAGCATGGGGGTGAGTAGAAAATGAAGGCTAATCATGTTTTGGGTGTACTATTCATTTAACAGTCATGTTTTTGGACTGTGGGAGGAAGCCGGAGCACCCGGAGAGAACCCATGCATGCATGGGGAGAACATGCAAACTCCATGCAGAAAGACCCTGAGCTGGAAATCGAACCCTGAACCTTCTTGCTCCGGCAGCAGTGCTCCCCACTGCCCCACTGAGCAGCCCAAGTTATTGCTATTAGCCAATAGTTATCAATATTAGCTAATAGTAATAACTCTATAGTCTGATGTTTGGAGTGTACAACTAATAGTCTGTAGTCCAGTTGGAAAAAAAGAAGGGTGATGGTGGATTTTTTTTTTTTTAGAAGCATACATAGCCTAATTAATATAGTCTATTAACCTAAAGCACTATGCATTGACGTTGAACAAGGCACCTTACAGAAGAACTGCAGTCAGTCCCTGGACTGGCATGGCTGACACTGCTCCTACATATTTAGGGAAAAATGCAGAGGACAAATTCCCCACTGGGGTCAGCTTCACAGACATGGTCGGTCACTTTGATTTTATTTATTTTTCTCAGGCCACTCATAAGCCCACAGCCTGCCAAATGTTGAAAGGACAATTTTATTGCCCTTACTGCTAATATATTGTAGAAACTTTACACATTTAGTAATAAAATGTCACAGGGGATGGTATGGGAGGATGGTGATTTAAGAATGGGGTTGATGTTAGGATTTTTTTAGAAAGGGGACGCCATCCCCCTTCAACTGGAGTACTGAAGTATACAAATGTCTACTTCATGTCACAAGCTAATTTGTTAGCTTCTAAAGCTATAGTGTGCAGGTAATCTACCTGTATAAATATCTGTGTATAGGCCTACAATCAAATACATTCAACAAAAATGTAAATAAAACTGCTGATACCACCACATGCATTTTTGTCCATCGTGACAGTGTTGATAGTAGTTTGATAAAAATCTTTTTTATTGCTTTTTGCTCACATCTTGCTGTAATTATGAGGTTAACATGTATTTGGTAGAGCACTGAACTCAATGATTTTTGCATTGTGCATTGCTTTTTAAATGCACTGCTTCAGTGCTTCCATTTAACTTACCTCTTTTTTACTTCTAATTAAGGTTATCGTGTTTATGCAAACAGTAAATTCCGTTGTTTTAGCTAATTCAGACTCATCCATAACTCACTTATTTGTATGAGATCTATAGTTATACATATGCATATACATATAAACATATATAGAGTTATATATGGCCATCCATCCATCTTCTGCTTATCCGGGGTCGGGTCGTGGGGGTAGCAGCTTCAGTAGCGAGGCCCAGGCGTCCCTTTCTCCAGCCACTTGGTCCAGCTCCTCCGGGGGAATCCCAAGGCGTTCCCACCCCAGCCGGGAAACATAGTCCCTGCAGGGTGTCCTGGGTCTCCCCCTGGGCCTCCTCCCGGTGGGACATGGCTGGAACACCTCACCAGGGAGACGTCCAGGAGGCATCCTAACCAGATGCCTGAGCCACCTCAACTGGCTCCTTTGATGTGGAGGAGCAGCGGCTCTACTCTGAGTCCTCCCTGAATGACTGAGCTCCTCACCCTATCTCTAATGGAGAGCCCAGACACACTACGGAGAAAACTCATTTCAGCCGCTTGTATTTGGGACCGTCATGACCCAAAGCTCATGACCATAGATGAGGGTAAGAACGTAGATCGACTGGTAAATCGAGAGCTTTGCTTTTTGGCCCAGCTCTCTCTTCATCACAACAGACCGGTACAGCGAACGCTTCACAGAAGACGCCGCACCAATCCACCTGTCGATCTCCCGCTCCATCTTACCCTCATTCATGAACAAGACCCCAAGATACTTAAACTCCTCCACTAGGGGCAGTAGATCCTCCCCAACCTGGAGAAGACACTCTACCCTTTTCCAGCTGATCCAGTGTTCCACCAGGAATGAAACCACACTGCTCCTCCTGAATCCGAGTTTCGACTATCCGACGGACCCTCGTTTCCAGAACCCTGGAAAATACCTTACCAGGGAGGCTTAAGAGTGTGATTCCTCTGTAGCTGGAACAGACCCTCCGGGTAAATAGGGGGACCACCACCCCAGTCTGCCAATCCAGGGGAACTGTCCCCGATGTCCATGCAATGTTGCAGAGTCGCTTTAACCAACACCGCCCCACAACATCCAGAGCCTTAAGGTACTCAGGGCGAATCTCATCCACTCCTGGGGCCTTGCCACCGAGGAGCTTTTTAACCACCTCAGTGACCTCAGCACCAGTGATGGGAGAACCTGACCCAGAACCCCCAGGCTCTGCTTCCTTAATGGATGATGTGTTGGTGGTATTTGGCTGACCGAAACACGACATCCCAAGTCGAGGTCAGCAGCACACCACCCCCACTATAAATAGTGTTGGTACTGCACTGCTTCCCCCTCCTGGAAAGCCGGATATTGGACCATAATTGTTTTGAAGCCTTACGGAAATCTTTCTCCAAACAAAAAAAAAGCCAGGATATTAAAAGGAACATCAAGGAAACACAACACTTGAAATGATGCAAAACCAATAAAAACCCCCAACACCTTTGCAAGGTCTATCCTTCAAAATAAATAAATAAATATACATATACATATGAACATTGAAATTTAATTTATCACACATTCTGGGTATCAAAAACAAAAAGATTTTTAATTTTGCTGCATTTTTTTTGTTTTGTCCTCCATTTATTTTTTAGCCATTTATATATTGTTGCATCAGATTTTGGCAGTCCTTGTCTTCCATATTTTCCTAATGTGGTAAACTTAAAACCAGACGGACTAACATTGAAAAATAATTTATTTCAGAAATGTACTGTGATAATATATTCATTCAGATTCTGCGTGATAAGCTTTTGTTGCGTACAATGAAGTCACTCCACATAAAGAAAAATTGAAATAAAACCTTAAGGGAACAAGTAGATGACGTCTTTTCTGTATCTGAACTGTGGTAACTAGAAACACATCACTGAATTTTCACCATAGCGTTGTAAGTTCGCCTCGTGAGCGGTCGGACGTTGCCAGCCCCTCTGTGGCATAACTCCAGGCAGGTTTAAAGCTGCTGCAGGACGATCCGTTTATACACATACTTACAGTGAATGATCTGTAAAGCTTGACGTACACAAAGTGTAATCATTCACACACGCCCATGCACACGTACGCGTTAGAGCAAGGTCACACCTGGATAGCAGAGAGTAGTTGAATACACTTAAAGAAGAGAAGTGAGGCAAATTGATGACATCATCTGTTGAACAGGCTCGGCGCTGCACAGCGATGGTGCACTGCAAAAAAATGACATCTAAATAAGTAATTTCTTCTTAAAATAAGTGCATTTATTCTTGAATTAAGGATTTAAGTGAGACACTTTGCCAATGGAACAAGACAATTTACACTTAAAATAAGAAAAAACAATTGCTTTGTCTTATTTCAAGTGCATTTTATCTAGATGTCTTATTTTAAGAGTAAAAATACTAATTCCATTGGTAAATCATCTTATTTAACTGCTCAAATTGAGGGTAAATACCCTTAATTTAAGACATTTTTACTCATTTTGAGATCATTTCTGCAGTGTGATCAGTGGCAGGAAAAAAATAGCAACAAGGAGATAAAACAAAAAAACTTTTTTTCCCTTTTTTTGTTTTTGTTTAACAAAATCACACTTAAGCGCTTTCAGCAGAAGTGTCCACAGTTTCAAAACTCCCCCTCACAGGCTGAATATCAAAGCGTTTCAGCAGATCGAGACTGATGTGTTTATACAAGAGCAGAGAGAAAGCAGTGAAGGTTCGATCCTTCGCCGCCGACTTCCATCTGTTGAGCGTAAAAGGAGGCTCTGGTAGCTGACGGTGGAGGGCACCATGAACGGCGTGGTCACAACTGGTGCCAGGTGGTAGAAGTAAGTGTTTCAATCAAGGCGGCCGTCTTCCGCTGCAACAATCTCGTGAAAAAATTCTTTAAACAGACATACACCTATTTCATAGATGGTAAGTCCCTCAGGCACAGGACAGTCACCTCTGACCTCTGCATGTGTGCACGCTCCCAGCCCAACAATTTGGTTCCACACTAATGCAGATTTGTGTCCTTGGTACAAGTTATGTTTGTTATCCTTCATATTTTGTTTTTACATGGAGCCTAATCAAATCTTTTCTTCTCTTCATGAGTCTCCGTTTGTAAAGATTATGTCCACCAGCTCAATTTTGACTTCTAGGTCTCTCCACTATATATATGTTATATATATATTTATATATATCTATATAGATATATATGTAGCAAATGTTTTTTTTTGTGTTTTCAAAGACTTGTGACTTTGTACAGAGATTGCTGATTAACGTGTTTCTAAAAAGCAACTAAAAGAGGAAAGAATGAGAAGCAAAGTCATGCAAGTAGTTCAACAAATACAACTGCAGATGTGTTTTATCAACAGGTAAAAGGAAAAACTTGAGTTTACGATGGCACACTTCCACACTAAAGAGAAACAAGCGCTGTGAAAAGTCACCGTTTAAGTAGAACGGAAGAAAAAAAAAAGCGTAAAAATGAAAAACAGAAGGCTATAAGAGGCGAGAAACTGCTGTGATTGATTAAACTGGCGGATTTGGCATCATGCCGTGATGTTCTATTTTGCGTTAACGCTTCGAGAAAGTTTGCTCCTTTTCGGCATTTATCACACAAAGGAGGAGAAGCCAGCGATAGGAGCGCGTGACCCGGGGGCTAGGCTGCTGGGGGGCCTGTACAGGGTGCTGTGCTGGCTGGGGGGGTTGGAGCACTGCTGGGAGGGGGTGGGAGTCCGACTTCCTTTGGGCCGAAACAGGTTGCCTTGACCCTGAGGTTGACCCTGGGCCTGTTGAGGTTGAGGGCTGGGCGAACTGAGCTGCGGGGGCAGCGGCGGTAGAGGGGGCAGCGGAGGCGGGGCGTGATGCTCTGGTTCTCCCGACTCAGACTCGGTGAAGCTGTAGGCCTGTGCTCGGGATATTCCCTTCTGCTGGCGGCGCCAGGAGTTGTAGTAGGTGGGGTCGCTTATGTAGTGGTTGACGAACGAATGCGTCTTCTGTCGGTTTGGGTCGACCTCGTACTCGTTGTCGCTCCCCTGGAAGACAAAACAGAGGCAGGTTGCAGGGTTAGCATACCTTGCCTCTTTACTGTGGACAATTATTGTGCCAATTCGAGTAAAGTTCTCAATAAACTGGAATTTCAAATAAAGCCTATTTGTGAGTGTGGCCTAGTGGTTAGGGCATTGTGCCTGGAATCCTTAACCCCACACTGTACCCAGGCTCTGCTCAATGGCAGCCTACTGTTACCCAAGAGGATGGGTTATGGTTGCAGGAAGTCAATTTAGATTTTGTTGCTTAGTACTTGTGATAGTGTAATGACAAAAAACTTGTATAAAATACAAACTCTTAGCTCTTAAAGTGATCCAAGTTAATTCCTCTCACATTTGGTAAGTATGGCTTTAAAATAGGGAAAACTAACTGTTCAATTTCTGAAATAATATATAATGAATACATTCCTTGCTACTTCGAAGCTGTGCCATAAAATATAAGGACTTAATATTTGGTTGGGACTCTTGCAACAAGAATCCCTGCTTGCAGCATGGTTTGCAGGAATTATTTTATTTACCAGCTTTCAGCTTGACTGTATTGGCACTAATTCTCCACAGATCAAGGTTGCCAAAGTCCAGTAATCAAGAACTACTATCCAGCAGCTTGTAGTTAGCCTCATGAGACCATCCTGATCTTGCGAGCTTTCAAGGTTTCACTTGCAGATCAGTCTGGAGACTCTCCGTTAAAGAAAATTTGGAGCCGTTCACCAAACGAACGTCCAATCAGCGTTGGCTTTGAGGCGGCTTGAGGTGTGATGCAACGAGAAGCGCGACAGTTCAGTCTAAAGAACATGGCGGCTTCAGCCGATGAAACTAGCGTTAGCATGGCTATCGAGCAAGTTTTATCGGAATTACAGAGTATTTCTTCACTGAAAGAAGCGCAAAACACTGCTCTGGAGGCTTTTCTCAGAGGAAAAGATGTTTTTGCTCTTCTCCCGACTGGTTTCGGCAACAGTTTGATCTATCAATTGGCTTGTGCCTGGCTTGTGGTTGTGTTTTCGTTGTCGCTCTGTTAGTACGTCATATGCTTCGTTGATCTGATTGGTTTATTTGGCCCGTCTATCACCAACATAGGCCAATCAGCTAACCAGTATTTTCACCCCTTCCCAAAATTACTTCAATGGAAGGTTTCCAGATGGATATGCGGAGCAAATCCATCTGGCGGAGTCAGGTTAGCTTGTAGATGCCTCCCTTCTTCAGTACACCTCAATCAGATGGTTGAATTATCATATCAGCGTGTCATTCAGCTCTACTAGTGATGAGCAGTTCATTTGTTTCGGGTATTTTAAAGAAGAGTTGGAACTAAAAAGTGCAGGACAGAGTCGCTCGTTGTCTGGACTTAGGCTCCTCTGCCATGGATTATCTGTGAGGTTCAGGTGGGACCAGATTCTGGCCGATCGATCACAGTAACATCAACTTTGAAACTGAAAGCGGTCCAACAGCAGCAGATGACCTGGCTCTCCAAATCATCATCCAAAATCATACTTGACCTCAAGAGACTCATGTTTTGAGCTTCTTCATTCTTCGATTTCAGCCTCGATTTCCAATCAAATAATCAATAAATGGGATATATCACTGTGTGTTACGAATCTATATGAGTTTCTGTTTTTGGATGGACTGACTTTTTAAATATATTCTAATTTATTGAGATGTACTTGCCAATTTAAATGAGCCACATGTTCTTGTTTGATTAAGTCATCCCTTGTAAAACAGCAAACAGACGCACGCAAATGTACCAATTCAACAACATAACACAAGTACACAAGGACAAAATGGTCACCAAAAAAATTAAAGCATGACTGCAAAAATTAAAGCGTGCACAACAAACAGACCATCAGTAGAAAATGAAAAAAGGTTAGTTTGTCTTTGGGACTAAGCAGTCAATAGAGCTTTTGGCAGTCACACCTCCAAAATAAAACATTGTTTGCTGTTGAATGGTGGAGAGTGCCACATGAAACCCACAACAAAAAGGAGAGTTTGGGGTCAAATATTGCATGGAGACCACCTTGGAGCCATTCCCCTACATACTGTACGGCTACAAACATGAAAAGCAGGCAGCTATTGGAACCTCACCAAATGCAGTGGAAGTGTATGTAGGCCACCTGTCCCATATGAAAACACCAGCGCCTCCTATGGGTGAACAAAACAATGGGTTTTACAGCACATCTCCAGAACAAAATGGTAAAAATGTCCAAGTCATGATGATGAGGATGATGTCACAGCAGCATACAATTCTGTACAAACTATATTTTAATATCAGCATTTATTTGTTTTATTTCTTTGTTTTATTGAAAATGGTTCTAGAGCAGGGGTCACAAACGCGGTGCCCGCGGGCACCAAGGGGCCCCCAAGGACCACATGGGGTGCCCTCTTCGTCTTCTGAAAACAAAAGAACTCACTCAGTGGGTTAAGTTTATAATTTTTTTTATTCTGTTGCTCTTCTTTTTAATCATTTATGTATTATTTCATCATGTTAACTATTTCATCATATTTCAGTGGTTTCAAAATGACAATATTAAAAAGAAAATTAGAAATGAATAAACGAATAAAACAAGAATAAAAATGAGTTTTTACAGATGAGATTTACTGTAGGTGAACACTGATCCCTCCAGTTCATAGGTCAGTATTGGTAGCCCTTCCTATGACTCGGTAGCCATGAAGTAGCCCTCAGCCTTAAAAAGGTTGGTGACCCCTGTTCTAGAAGCTGGTTGGAAAAAGGTCTGGAGAACCAGCGTGAATTCAAGAAACTGGTTTAATCTTGGCACCAAATCTTTGCCAGGCTGTAAAATCAGAAGCTGTTGAACTCGTGAAAGAGACCAAAAACAGATGTTCAGTGGCTTCCTGAAATCGGCTGAGTTGAAATTTACTTTAAATATTTATTTACGTAAACAACGAGCATCAACATGGTAAAAAAAAAAGAAAGTAAAAGGTCAGATTAAAACAGGGTTCATGTCTCCTAATTCTCTCTCATCTTCATAATGTTTTCTTCTAATAGCATATAGTTAATGTGGGTTAATAAACAATATGTAGACACACAAAAAAAAAAAATCAGTTTATAACTAAGTTTAGACAAACGTTTAGATCTTTTAATAATAGAAGCTATTAGGGATGCACGATATAATCGGCCCCGTATCAGTATCGGCCTTAAAACTGAATATCGGACATCGGCCACCCCATAATATATTTGAGTATATTATTTTTCAAAGTGTCAGAAATGGATAACAAAACTGCTATTTTCAATGACTACTTATTTTTGTCCAGCTTTAACATCATTATCGATATCGGTTATCGGCTACATGAGTTTTAAAATATCGGCATATCGGATATCGGCCAAAATCCCAATATCGTGCATCCCTAGAGCAGATCACTAATCGGCCATGTTTGGGGAAGAGGAGACTTTTTTTACTTTTTGGTGAAAATGCAAAAATATTATTAGGGATGCACGATATAATCAGAACCCTTTGGGTATCGTCCTTAAAACTGAATATCGGACATCGGCCACCCCACCGATATTTAACCCGATATTTGATCAGCTTCTAAGTTTCTAAAGTCTAAAAAAAAAAAAAATACTACTTCTTCTTCCTCAAAAACTTTTTTTTTACAGACCTAAAAACTTCTAAAGACGAGGGAAATAATATTGATATATTAAAATATCACAATATCTTCAGCTTTAACATCATTATCGATATCGGTTATCGGCTACATGAGTTTTAAAATATCGGCATATCGGATATCGGCCAAAATCCCAATATCGTGCATCCCTAGAGCAGATCACTAATCGGCCATGTTTGGGGAAGAGGAGACTTTTTTTACTTTTTGGTGAAAATGCAAAAATATTATTAGGGATGCACGATATAATCAGAACCCTTTGGGTATCGTCCTTAAAACTGAATATCGGACATCGGCCACCCCACCGATATTTAACCCGATATTTGATCAGCTTCTAAGTTTCTAAAGTCTAAAAAAAAAAAAAATACTACTTCTTCTTCCTCAAAAACTTTTTTTTTACAGACCTAAAAACTTCTAAAGACGAGGGAAAAAATATTGATACATTAAAATATCACAATATCTTCAGCTTTAACATCAGTATCGATATCGGTTATCGGCTACATGAGTTTTAAAATATCGGCATATCGGCCAAAATCCCAATATCGTGCATCCCTAGAAGCTATGGTTTATAAATTGTTTGAGATGGTCCAGTTTGGTCTCTTAATTTTTCTTTTTAAAGAAGGATTATATATTGCTAACGGCGTACACAACTGCTTAATTCTTAGCTGAATCTATAAACACCCAATTGCAGCTAAGTCTATGAGCACTACTTTATATTTTAATATCCTAGAACATTTTTAAAATGAAAGCTTAAAACTATTTTTGTTGCTCCGGACTATAGTACTGTTTTGTTATTGTAGGTATTAATGAAATAAACAATATCCAGCTGCTTAAAAACTTTGTTTTGAGCTCAGAACATAAATCCCATTTGCACTGAGTTTGTAAAGACTGCTAAGCATCTTAATGTCGCAACATGGGGGTCATTATGTTTGTCCGGTCATGTTCAGGATTTAAACTTCTGTAATGATTTAAGTATGAAATTATTACATACTTTTCAATAAATGATAAGTATTTTTAATTAAGAGTAATTTTCATGTGAATGTGCTTTACTGAAGGCATCCATGTTTGTCAAAGAACACTACTGCCACCTACTGGTTTGTGACATCACGGTGCGGTATCAGCTGTTGATCAAGTCCCAGTGCTGTATCTGGGGTTTTCTGGTGCAATTACTCATTGTTTTTCCACTTTTACCCGATGTATTCCAACATCCAGCTGCCATGCACGTGGGCATTGTCAGTTTCACTATAGCTCTGGTGAATTTCAATGGTGAAGTCCTCTGGAATTCTCCAATAATTGTTGTTGATTGCAGATGTGTCTAGTAGTTCCCATTGATTTCGCTTGTAAAGCGGGGAGAATGGCGCTAGGCTTACCGCACCGTGACGTCACTGCTGGAAGATGGCAGGAGGGAGGGGTTACAATATTTGGGCAAAAATGGCCGCTCCCAGACTCAGTGATTGTGATGAAAATTATAATTTTTTTTTACTGATTAATACTAAATTCAGTAAATCACAGCAAACATATTAGTTTCAGGTATAAATAATGATCCATTGATTATTCCTTGCTGACTTTTGCGTAGCTCCAGTGACAATAATATTATTAATGCAGGTGGATCAAATACAGATGCTTTTCCAAATATTTTTGGCTGAATTTATAAAATACCAATTGCAGTTAAGTATATAAGCACTATTTGACATTCTAATAAATCCCCTGGCTTTTTTAAATCCCACTTTAAATTATTAATGTCACCCAAATTTGGCAATAGCAATAGGACTAAGCTATTTCCACAATAGTGTTTTAGTAGTTTTTCTTTGGACAGTGTTGTTTTCATCTAATTTCACCAGAAGTTGTTTATAAATCCTGTTCAAAATGGTTGTAAAATTACAGACTGTATAACTGTTTATTCTGTATAATGAGCAATACAAAAAAAAATATTGTTGTGTAAAGTTTCTGAATGTAAAGTGACAGTTATATGTGTGATTTACCTCCAGCACTTTGAGCCCTTTTTAAAAAGACAACTTTCGCTATAATGCTAATTTTAGAATATAAAAAAGAATCAAATACAATGGAAATGAAAGATGAAAGAATTAGTGAATAATTTTTTTTATTTACTCAATATGATTGCTCCAAAATAAATGCAGGTTCCAAACAACCTTCTTCACCAACTTTTGCAGTAACGGCTTTAACATCGATGAAACACACTCATCGGCCACTTTATTAGGTACCCCATGCTAGTAACGGGTTGGACCCCCTTTTGCCTTCAGAACTGCCTCTATTCTTCGTGGCATAGATTCAACAAGGTGCTGGAAGCATTCCTCAGGGAGTTTGGTCCATATTGACATGATGGCATCACACAGTTGCCGCAGATTTGTCGGCTGCACATCCATGATGCGAATCTCCCGTTCCACCACATCCCAAAGATGCTCTATTGGATTGAGATCTGGTGACTGTGGAGGCCATTTGAGTACAGTGAACTCATTGTCATGTTCAAGAAACCAGTCTGAGATGATTCCAGCTTTATGACATGGTGCATTATCCTGCTGAAAGTAGCCATCAGAAGTTGGGTACATTGTGGTCATAAAGGGATGGACATGGTCAGCAACAATACTCAGGTAGGCTGTGGCGTTGCAACGATGCTCAATTGGTACCAAGGGGCCCAAAGAGTGCCAAGAAAATATTCCCCACACCATGACACCACCACCACCAGCCTGAACCGTTGATACAAGGCAGGATGGATCCATGCTTTCATGTTGTAGATGCCAAATTCTGACCCTACCATCCGAATGTCGCAGCAGAAATCGAGACTCATCAGACCAGGCAACGTTTTTCCAATCTTCTATTGTCTAATTTCGATGAGCTTGTGCAAATTGTAGCCTCAGTTTCCTGTTCTTAGCTGAAAGGAGTGGCACCCGGTGTGGTCTTCTGCTGCTGTAGCCCATCTGCCTCAAAGTTTGATGTACTGTGCGTTCAGAGATGCTCTTCTGCCCACCTTGGTTGTAACGGGTGGTTATTTGAGTCACTGTTGCTCTTCTATCAGCTCCAACCAGTCTGGCCATTCTCCTCTGACCTCTGGCATCAACAAGGCATTTCCGCCCACAGAACTGCCGCTCACTGGATGTTTTTTCTTTTTCGGACCATTCTCTGTAAACCCTAGAGATGGTTGTGCGTGAAAATCCCAGTAGATCAGCAGTTTCTGAAATACTCAGACCAGCCCTTCTGGCACCAACTTCAAAGTCACTCAAATCACCTTTCTTCCCCATACTGATGCTCGGTTTGAACTGCATGAGATTGTCTTGACCATGTCTACATGCCTAAATGCACTGAGTTGCCGCCATGTGATTGGCTGCTTAAAATGAAGTGTTAACGAGCAGTTGGACAGGTGTACCTAATAAAGTGGCCGGTGAGTGTAGGAAAACTTTACAATTACCCAAAAGACCTACTGTCAATATATTTATTTGCAAAGCATTAGCCAGTAGTACATCAGAGACATGTATACTGATGCAAAAATAAAATTTTCAACATAT